TATTTGCAGCACATAGCTTTAGCTTCCCCTTACTCTCTGTAGTTATATATAGATTGTGACACGGGACAAGTTAGGGGCTATGGTGGGCTTGGGGATTTAGAGGCTGTTCGCTGTAAATTTTGAAATAGGGTTTGAAGTTGCTGTTTAGGGTATGGAAAGAGGGAAACAAATAGAAAAATAACGAGAAAGGTAGAAAAACCCTAGGAGTCACACCTAGGTTTCTTTATGCATCACACCTAAAGAGGATAAAAACCCTTAAGCATCACAACTAAGGTTAGTTGCATACTTGCATTGCACAACTAAGATTGTATCACACAATCTCAAGAGACAGCTTTTGCTGCAAATTTCCAAATATTCTATTAACTTGACTGAATAATGAAAGAATTCACAAGCATATTTATAATCCTACAATTCCTAAATTAACAAGAAATAGAATTCCTATTCTAATTAGACTAGGACTTAGACTTACTAAAAATATGAAGATACCTAATAAGACTCTTAAATAAAAAAATCTAATCCTAATAAAACTAGGAACTGATTAATAATCTAACACAACACTTGAATAATAATAATTACATAAGAATCCTAAATAATCTAAATAACTATTAAATAGCTTCTTCTTGTTCCTCATCAGATTGACTGTTTGTGCATTGAATTACAAGCAATGTGATAGTTCCATGTCAAAACAGAACACTGTAAATTGATGGAGTTCTTTCCTTTATTTCACTTTTGACTTGTATTAATAGACATTAATAATGATCTTTGTGTGAATTTTAAGGATAAAAGAAGAGAGGTTTCATCCACACTGTGCTACAGTAACTACCTTATTTTTTGTAAATTGTAAGATGTTTAGGTTGATTGATTTGGAGAGAAATTTAGAAGTGTTTGGCTTACTTTGGTTGCAGAATGCTCTGCCAAGCTTGATCACAAGATATGACAGGGATTTTGACTATGACTATTTTGGTTGGAAGACCCTTGAGAAGTCTTACCTCCTAAAAATTGATGATAGTGTAGTGGAAAGACCACTGCACATGTTAACTCTTCTATTTTTCTGGCCAACAGCACATGTTAATGAGGGTTGCTGTTGGTATTCACAAAGCTGACATTGACACTGCTATAAGAACATACCATTTGATGTCTCGGCCTTGCCATGCTCCTGGTACACCTACCCTTTCCAATGCAGGAACTCCAAAGCCTTGACAACATTAGTACCAAGTGTACACTCAGGTATGAGTCCACTTAGGAGTGAATATACATCCAAAAACAGTACCAAGTATGACTATAATATCAAAATTTTCTGTTCTTTAAGTTACAACATTAGTCTTGAAAATGATTTACCTTTTTCTCTGTTGTGATGAGGCAGTTGCATAGCTGTTTTCTACTCTGCATGAAGGATGACAGCATTGAGGGCATATATGACCCTCTGAAGGAGTGCGCTGTTACAAGTAAATCTGAGGAATTGGTATTTCCAGTTCATAACATATGTCCCACTGGCATTTACATCTGTAGGATAAATAGGACTTAAAATAGCTTTGTTCCATTGCTCTGCATTTTTAATTATGCTACTCACTATGTTGACCATGGTGGAGGCAGGAGAAAGGGTAGTTAAACACAGTCAAATTCCCTACATTTTTTATTCCCATCTTTTGTTTTAATTTTAATATGCTTTTAATCTTATTGTAGATTTACAGAATGCATCTGTCAATAGATATTTCAAGTGCATATCAGTAAAATGTTTCCTGGACATCTCAGCGATTATGAGCTTGAGCCTCCATGTTGGATGTCTAAAGTTTGAATCATAGGAAATATGCAATTAATCTTTTGTTCTTTTTCTGTTGTATAGTTGTTGAGTGCTTCATCTGAAATGTTGCATATTAATCATAGGAAATATGCAATTAATTATTACTATAATATGGCACATAAATTTTCCTTCTTGATGCTGATGGTTAAGTCTGTTTAACTCAGGGCAGGGCAAGGATGCTTATTCTGCAAGGAAACTCTGGTTTGAGATTCTAATTTCTCAGATTGAAACAGAAACTCCTTATGAGCTTTTTAAGGTATCTGTGTGTGTGTGTGTGTGTGTGTGCATGTGTGCAGGGGCATATTGAATGCTTTTGAAGCTATATACAAATGAAAATGTCTTAATTGTTATATTCTTTTCTTTTAAAACTACTAGATTCTTGCAATAGGAAGAGCAACCAACAGAATCTAGGCACTAACAGTTCCTCAAATCTGTGCGCAGAGGTTATTGAGTTCACAAGTCTTAACAGAAACTGCAGTGTGCAACGCATGCATATAATATTTCCAATGGGTGTTCAACTGTAAGGTCTCAATTCAAAGCATGTGAAGTTTGTTTGATGTATGTGTAAAAATTTTTAATCTTTTAATTAATTCCAAAGGGACTTGAACT